TCTAAGTCTTTTCTTATGCTGTTACAAATTAGGAGTCACCTTACTGAAAGAGAAGATTAGCTGTCCACAAGCCTATGTGAAATCAGATTCAGGCCCAAGCTGTTAAATCATTGAATATGCAAAACGCTGAGCACCCTCAACTCCTGTTGACATCAGTGGGAGCTATGGGTGCTTAGCCCCTGTCAAAGTGAGGCTCTGCTTGATTGTGTGAAACATTTTTATAACTAAGCATAACTTAGATATTCCTGTTTCTACTAGATGTCCCCTAAACAGAAGAAAAAATCTTCATATTTCTGCATTGGTTTGACAAAAGCAACGATGCCCTTGTGTGTTATGTGCTATTATCCTGGAAATGTTAATAAGTGCAGGCAAGACAATCCCATATCTCATTAAAACTTAAGGTTAACTACCTTTCTTTCAGGCTGAATAGGAGTAGCTATTAAATCTTTTGGGGAAGTAAAATAGCTGGAAATATTAGAAGCTACAACCCATGACAGTTGTTCTGATAGCAGAAACTGATTAGGAATAAGATATGTGGTGTGAGTAATTATCCTGGGACTGGTTGTATATGCAGGAGTTAGGAATTTATTTGGCCAACTGGGTGCATCTACATAAGACACTCCTGTGCAATGGTTACTGCGCATTTATTTAGTACTTGTGTTAGCCATTACTAAGTAAATGCACATAACTGGAGTTAAGTGATGCTACTGCTCAGTAGCCGAATAATACTGCGCAGTAGCATATTAGCACTGTCTGTGCTGTGACATGCTGCTACATAGTATTATTAGGCTACTGCACAGTTAGCATCTTGTGTAGATGCGCCCACTGTATGTGTGAGGAACAGCAGGTGAAAGAAGCAGATATGAGAATAGCCATGAGAGAGAACAGAGAGAGAACATTGTAGGACACAAATGTCATTGGAAATATAGTCTTGGGCCCATAGGTGGAGGGAGAAAAAATTATTTTGGGGGGCTGAGCATGCACGCATGTATGTACACCCCCCCC